TTTATTTGGTTTATCTTTTCTCGGTTGGTTTTGGCAAGAAGACATATTTTTCGGCAGTCTTTGGTTCAACAAAAATTCAGCCATCTTCTTCTCCTTTTTGGTGCCAGAAAAATCTGCAAATTTGTTCTTCAAGTGGGTAATATTTCTTCACTTGATATTTGGGTTTCTTGCGGTTTGTTCTTGGAGATTTGGTTCACTTATTTTGTGAGGTATTTTCCTCTTGTGATTTACACCTTGGTGTGTTTGTAAGGCTTATGCCTTTTGGCCACTTTGTAATCTGATTTGGTGATAGTAGAAGAAACTGACCTACCGGTCGTCGTGGATGTACCTCAAGTTATTTGAGGGAACCACGTAAATCTTGTGTGCTTATTTATTTTCTGTTATTTTATTTATATTGCTTCCATTGATTTACACTTGTGGGAAAGCCTATTTTCCCAACATCTGGTATCAGAGCAATTGGTTAATTCGGTTCCGATTCGTTATATTTCTGTGTGTGAATTATGGACGGCAACGTTGGACGTATGGTTAGTTTCAATGGCACAAATTGGGTGACTTGCAAAACTAAAATGGAAGATCTTTTATTTTGTAAAGATTTGAATGGACCCATAGAGGGTGATAGTGGCAAACCGGAAGGGATGAAAGAAGACGAGTGGAAAAAGCTAGACCGGAAAGCTGTCGGTTTTATTCGGCAATGGATTGATGATAGTGTCTTTCATCATATCTCTACAGAAAAATCTGCACATGGTCTTTGGACCAAATTGGAGAGTTTGTATGATAGAAAGACGGCAGTGAATAAAGTCTTTTTATTTCGAAAGCTTGTGAACTCTAAATATAAAGAGGGTACTTCTATTGCAGAGCATTTGAATGAGATTAAGAGCATTGTGAATCAGTTGGCCGCCATGAAAATTACTTTTGATGATGAGTTGCAAGCTTTGTTACTTCTTAGTTCACTTCCCAAAGCTGGGAAACTTTGGTGGTCACAGTTAGTAACTCCGCACCTGATGGAGTGGTAACAATGAGTCAAGTTACCAGCAGTTTGTTGAATGAATAAACAAGAAGAAAATCATCAGGTTCTTCTTACTCCGAGGCACTTGTAATGGAAAACCGGGGGAGAGGCAGGAGTAAGAGTAGGGTTCCGCACAACCGTGATAAATCTAGAGGTCGTTCAAGCTCGATGTCAAAAAAGGATGTTGAATGCTATTATTGTCACAAGAAAGGGCACATGAAGCGGGAATGTAGAAAACTCAAGTTCAAGGAGCAGAACAAAGAGAAAAATTCAGAGAAAAAGCAAATTGATACAGCTGTAGTTACCGATGATGAACTCATGATTATCCGTGATGATGCTAGCGTTAATTTGATTGGCCAAGAGACGGATTGGGTAATTGATTCTGGAGCTTCATTTCATGTTACTTCGCGGGCTGATTTCTTTACTTCTTACTCACAAGGTGATTTTGGGAATGTCCGTATGGGAAATGAAGATGTGTCAAAAATTGTCGGCATGGGTGACATTTGCTTGGAAACAAATATTGGATGCAAATTGCTGCTTAGAGATGTGAGGCATGTACCAGATATTCGACTCAATTTAATCTCTGCTGGAAAGTTAGATGATGAAGGCTACATCAACAATTTCAGTAATGGAAAATGGAAGCTCTCCAAAGGTTCTCTAGTGGTAGCAAAAGGAAAGAAGACTTGTTCTCTTTACACTATGCAAGCAAAAATCTGCAAGGGTGTTGTGAATACCTTAGAGAATGACTCATCCACTGATTTATGGCATAGAAGGCTTGGACATATGAGTGAAAAAGGATTGCAAGTTTTGTCCAAGAAAGAGCTTCTAGTGGGGATAAAAGGTACGCCTTTGAAAACTTGTGTTCATTGTTTCCATGGTAAACAAAACAGAATATCATTCCGTAGAAACATTGCATCTAGAAAATCTCATGTTTTAGATTTGGTACATTCTGATGTATGTGGTCCTTTGAAAGTTAGGACACTTGGTGGTGCTCTATACTTTGTCACTTTTATTGATGATCACTCTAGAAAAGTTTGGGCTTATACACTGAAAACTAAAGATCAAGTTCTAGATGTGTTTAAGATTTTTCAGGCCAAGGTTGAAAGAGAAACAGGTAGACAGTTGAAATGTGTTCGCTCGGATAATGGTGGTGAATATATTGGACCATTTGATCAGTATTGCACAAATCATGGTATCAGGCATGAAAAGACAGTTAAAAAGACACCTCAACAGAACGGGGTTGCAGAGAGAATGAATCGCACCATTCTTGAGAGAGTCAGATGTTTGCTCTCACATTCTAAATTGCCAAGATCCTTTTGGGGTGAGGCAATGAGGACCGCAGTTGATCTTATCAATTTGTCTCCTTCAGTTCCGTTGAATGGTGATGTGCCAGAGAAAGTTTGGACAGGGAAGGAAGTCTCCTATGATCACTTGAGGGTATTCGGCTGCAGAGCTTTTGTTCATATTCCAAAAGATGAAAGGTCCAAGCTTGATCCAAAAGCAAAGCAATGCATATTTCTTGGCTATGGGCATGAAGAATTTGGATACAGGTTGTATGATACAGTTGACAAGAAAGTTGTCAGAAGCCGAGATGTTGTTTTCTTGGAAGATCAGACTATTGAAGACATCGACAAGCTTGAGTCAGCTGAGTCTAGTACTGATGATCTTGTTGATTTAGATCCTCTCAATCCCTCTGCTGTTCATGATATTGATGAGGAAGTGCAAACACCTCATGATGATGCAGCAGAAGATGATGTTGAGCCAGAGATTGAGGGGGAGCAACCACCCCAAGAGCCACTACCACAGACACCGTTAAGGAGATCTACTAGAGAAAAACAGTCATCCAGAAAATATTCTTCAAATGAGTATGTGATGATATCAGATCAGGGGGAGCCAGGGACTTATCAAGAAGTCTTGAAGCATGAGAACAAAACTGAATGGTTCAAGGCAATGAAAGAGGAAATGAAGTCTTTGCATGAGAATCACACCTATGATTTGGTGAAGCCGCCTAAAGGGAAGAAAATTTTGAAAAATAAATGGGTCTTCAGACGAAAGAATGATGGGAACAGTTCTCAACCGAGATTCAAGGCACGACTTGTCGTGAAAGGTTTTGATCAGAGAAAGGGAGTTGATTTTGATGAGATCTTCTCACCAGTTGTGAAGATGTCCTCCATTCGAACTGTGCTTGGTATAGCTGCGAGTATGAATTTAGAAGTTGAGCAGCTTGATGTGAAGACCGCATTTTTGCATGGTGACTTAGAAGAGGAAATTTATATGGAGCAACCTGAGGGCTTCAAAGATAAGGGTAATGATCAGTTAGTTTGCAAATTGAAGAAGAGCTTGTATGGATTGAAGCAAGCACCGAGGCAGTGGTACAGAAAATTCGATGCTTTCATGAGTGAGAATGGGTATTCAAGAACCACTTCAGACCATTGTGTGTTTGTGAAGAAATATAAAGATGGTAATTTTATTATTCTCTTGCTTTACGTTGATGATATGCTTATTGTGGGCCAAGACACGAGTAAGATTAGCAAGTTGAAGTCAGAGTTGAGTAAGTCCTTTGCCATGAAGGATTTGGGTCCAGCAAAGCAAATTCTTGGGATGAGAATTGTTCGTGACAGATCACATGGGCTGATTTGGTTATCTCAAGAGAATTATATTAAAAAGTTCTTGAGAGGTTCAATATGGACAAAGCAAAACCTGTTAATTGTCCACTTGCAGGCCACTTCAAACTAAGCTCAAGTCAGTGTCCTACAAGTGATGAAAAGAAAAATGAGATGCAGAAAATTCCCTATGCTTCAGCAGTTGGTTCTTTGATGTACGCCATGGTTTGTACTCGACCGGATATTGCTCACGCAGTTGGGGTTGTCAGTCGATTTTTGTCTAATCCAGGGAAAGAACACTGGGCAGCAGTGAAATGGATTATGAGGTATCTTCAGGACACTTCAAAGATGAGTTTGTGTTTTGGTAAAGGCGAGCCTATTCTTGATGGGTTCACAGATTCTGATATGGCTGGTGATGTTGATAGTCGAAAATCTACTTCTGGTTATTTGATTACTTTTGCAGGGGGAGCAGTGGCATGGCAATCAAGATTACAGAAATGTGTTGCTCTCTCCACCACAGAAGCTGAGTTCATCGCCATCACTGAAGCTTGCAAAGAATTATTGTGGTTGAAGGAATTCTTACAAGAGTTGGGTTTGAAACAAGAAAGGTATGTCCTTTATTGTGATAGTCAGAGTGCAATCCACTTGAGCAAGAATTCTTCATTTCATTCGAGATCGAAACATATTGATGTTAGATATCATTGGATTCGTGATGTCTTGAATGATAAGTTGTTACAACTTGAAAAAATTCACACTGATGATAACACTTCGGATATGTTAACTAAGGACAAGCATGAGAAGTGTCGACTTTTGGCGGGAATGGTCGAATCCTCCACATAAGTCGGGAGGGGGAGAATTGTTGGGTTTCCCTCCTTTGTGGGACTCATCAATTTGCTAATTTTTTGGTGGCTTACCCGTGTAGGACTCTTATCCAAGGCTTGGTTTGGAGTCTTCTAGTTAAAAAGGAATTTGGCAGTCATCAAAGACTATAAGTTTTGTCCTTTTATTCGGTTTATCTTTTCTCGGTTGGTTTTGGCAAGAAGACATATTTTTCGGCAGTCTTTGGTTCAACAAAAATTCAGCCATCTTCTTCTCCTTTTTGGTGCCAGAAAAATCTGCAAATTTGTTCTTCAAGTGGGTAATATTTCTTCACTTGATATTTGGGTTTCTTGCGGTTTGTTCTTGGAGATTTGGTTCACTTATTTTGTGAGGTATTTTCCTCTTGTGATTTACACCTTGGTGTGTTTGTAAGGCTTATGCCTTTTGGCCACTTTGTAATCTGATTTGGTGATAGTAGAAGAAACTGACCTACCGGTCGTCGTGGATGTACCTCAAGTTATTTGAGGGAACCACGTAAATCTTGTGTGCTTATTTATTTTCTGTTATTTTATTTATATTGCTTCCATTGATTTACACTTGTGGGAAAGCCTATTTTCCCAACACCATTTTGCCTCCTTTCTTAGCACACGATTATAAGCTGTGCCAGGCAAGTCTATTGGCACTGAGAACATCCCAGAAGTAACCAGAATGAAGGCATCAGCTAACCTTTTGACATGGTTAGGATCTACTATGCTCATGAACAATCGACACGCCAGTTCAAAAGTATACTTTTTTGATAGATTGAAAACCTTCACTTCATTAAATGGAACCCATTCGGTTTCCAAGTGTTCACGAGACATTGAGTCCATGATGGGTATGTACAGTTTTAACGCTTCGGGCTTGAGAATTTCTTGTAAAAAACTATGTTGTAGTGCTCCTAATTCCTTGGCAGAGTTTTCGGCGTATGAAGGAAAGATCAGAACCTTTTTCAATGATTGTGGCCACCATGAGGTGAGAAGTTTTCCATCATTCATGAACAGAAACTTGTTACCTGCTGCGCCACAGAACACTGACAGTTTCTCTCCCAACGACGATGTTCGAAATATTTGAGGCGAGTATTTGTTCATTCTTCTGGATATGAACTTTTGTGGACCTGAGAGGACAAAGTCAATATTTTCTCCAACCATTGGCCACCCAGTTGTTCCTGGTGGTAGTTTTAAGCCAGCAGAATTTCGTTTATGGTTGATGAACAAGAGAGAAAGAGATATAGCGAGGACCGCAAGGGGTAGTAGATATGTACAGAAGGCTTCCATGGTTTTTTGTTTTTTTTTTTTTGAAGCACAAGAATAACCAAGAAATGAAAGATGGAGGTGTGTGTGCCAATAGCAGGCTTAGTCGAAGCTATTTATAGAGAACAAATGGCTTCAAGGCCACCAAAGTGTCCTGCCTCTTGTAGCCAATGCGACAGACAGACATTCCATCAAGCTAATAATACAAACTCAACTATATAATTCATCAAGCTATGATTCATCTAGAACGTTTAGGACTGGATCCCATACTGTGGATTAATCTATGATATCTACAAATACAATTGTGGATACGAGACTAAAGCTAACCGAAAGCCGTATATTTGTAACAATTTATTATTTTTAACATGGTAAAGAACCATATAAGAGCAAATTACTCCACTTACTAAGTGTGTCTTTTGAACTGAAAACTCATGTGCAACAAATGGCATTAAAGTCATAGCCTAAGTCATTGTGCGGAGTCAGCTCCTTGTATCGGATAGGAGAAGAATGATGGTCATCCATTACAAATCTCACTCGAGAGGGGAATTGTTGAGGTATTAAACGAATCCCACGTCAGCGAATGATGAGGGGTCTAGAGTCATATAAGGGAGCAAATCACTTCACCTATTATGTGTACATTTTTGGGCTGAAAACTCATGTCCCACAAATCGTTTACCCAATACAATATAATAAAAATCAATATATTTTATCTCGTACAATTAGAAATGTTTCAAAATTAAATAAATTTTGTTACTAATATAAATATTGACATAAATAAGATACAGATCGAAATAATACAATTCAAAATCACAAGATATAAAGATTGAACAGTATCCGATCCCTTTGTACTCCAATAATACACACATATACATACACGCACAAAATTTTCTAATTGCAAAAAAACTAAAATAATAAAGTGCCATTATAGTCAATAGTTATGAATTGATACTATTTTTAGATTATAAAATAGTATTACTTGAGGGGGTCTAAGGTTAGCTGATCATTAAATGTTTTCTTGAGCGGGTCTAAGGCCAGCTGATCATTAAATGTTTTTGTCAATTTGAAAATCTCTCAATGTTTTCGCACGCCACCTAGAGGGGGCGCTGTTAGCTCTAGTTTGGTTCAATTTTAGCTCTATTAAAAATAAATAGTTGTTGGGAGAAATTTGTAATATTTTTTTATTATTTTTGTAATTAATGCACATTTAATTTTGTTAAATTTAAATGTTAAATAGTCAACAAAAATGTTAGAAGTGGTTATATAGGATACATGAAAAAACCTATATCGGAGGAAATATTTTAAATAATTCAAAATAAAGAGAATTCACTAACACCCCCAATCACATTAAGAATGTTAACTGAAATGTAATTTTACTAAATTGTCTATAATATATTTGAGGACAAACTTCATCAACATCCCCTCTAAATAATCATATCTTTAATGAGACCCCTCTTATTAAAATTTTTTTATGTATTAAAATTCGGATCAAGTTAATTAAAATTTATTTAATCGTTTTGAATTTTATGTAGAAAAATTGTTTGGAGTTTATGTTGGGGTATTTTTTATTTTTTATTTTTTTTGTTAGAAATTGTGGTTTAATGGCAGGGGATGTCAGTGATGTTTAAATATAAACTAGAAAAAGTGTCAGTGATTTTTTAATAATAGAAAGAGTGTCTTTAAAGATATAGCAAACTAAAAGGAGTGTGGCTAAATTTTTTCTAATTTTTATTTTTCTCAAATAGATTGATTAGATCGTTTATAATATTATTATTTAATTGCATATTACAAAATAAAAAAAATAACATATATTTGACCTCAAAATTCAATTTGGTAACTACTTGTGTATAATAATTTAATATATATAAAATTTTACTTGTTCATATAGATAAATAATTGTATATAACTGTATTACTAATAACTGAATTCAAAATAATTTACAAATCTTTATAAAAGAGTGCAAAACAAGTTGCTTAAGGATATGACATTCACTTTTTCCTTTGAAATTTAAATGTAGAGCAATTAACAAAGATAATACAAGTAGCTACATCGGTGATTTCAAGGCATAGTTAAATTAGAGGGAATCAATTACATAACTCAAAATTATTATAAGAATTTAGTGTTTAACGAAGAAATACTTCTTAAATCATCTCCGTAAAATTTTGAATGTTATATAATAATAATAGTGTTGTATCCGTGTGATGCACGAGCTATGCAATGCAAACCCCGTCACTCTCTTCCTTCCATCTGCCATTTGAAATAAAGAATTAGGAAATGCAAGAGTTTGTGGAAAATTCAAATAATTATGGGGAAGTTATTATAGAAATTAAAATTATTTATTAAAAAAAAATGAAATGAGTTAATAACAGAGTGGACTGGTAGTTATATAATCAAAATTAGGGGGAAAAAAGGGGACGGCTTATTTAAGCCCCACCTCACCTAAATTTGAGTGTTATATATTTATAAATAGATGATTAATTAAATATATATATTTGTTTAAATTTTAAACTTGCTTAATATTCAGTCCAAACTTGAGTATTTTTTAAAATTATTTCAAATTTAAATTTTTGCACATCCTTCTTCATTTTTTTTCACATTTAACAAATATTAGTTTAATTCATTAATGGATAATTTTGAACGAAGAATTTGAAAATGTAAATGATATTTTGTACTACGGAAAATTTATAAATTATTGATTGATATCGTAAAAGAAATGTCAGCAATTCCCGCCTTCACATTAGTTCGAGTCCATACACTTGAGACGAACAAAGTCTTCTGCTTTTGAAAAATTGGTTGCCCTTCTAGATAATAGCTGTACGATGTTTTAAATTGCTTGCCTTCTAGACAGATGGTTTAGAGTAGTTCATCCGTTCAATAACTCGGTTAATTCATTTTTTAAAAGAGTCTCTTGTTCTTTGAAGAATTTTTTATTCATAAGATAAAGAGTATTTGTTCAGACTAGTTGCTTGTGTTACATTACTAGGGATATAATACCTCTTATTTAGTCTTTGGAGACCTTGCTTTATTTTCTAGAGTGATCCTTACCCCTTTTTCTTAGCAGATGCGTCTGTTACGCAATCACCGTGAATAATATTGAAAGTATTACAACTCTCTTGTCTGAATGTAGGACCGTTGTGATTTATGCATAGCAACACTCCGATAGGTACTAGCTATCATCCTTACTGTTCCCACGATGGTATTGTTTCTTTGGGGGGGCGGGGGCCACCTGCACACCTTTAATTGTTTGTCACGAGCTACGTGATTTAAACTCAAATAATTGAACTGGACAACCGAGTTCAACTTTAATCAAATTTTAAGTATCATCATAACTAAAAATATAAAAATTATAATTTTTAATACAATAATTCAGATATTATACTGTTGCCCAATTTTCACCAATCTCAAACATCCTAAAAAGTTATAAGTGACTACCCAATTGGTATACTTGACCCCAAAAACAATTATTGGCCACACAGCTCAATGTTAGACACCTTAATCAACCATCAATACTCTTCACAATGTCAAAATATGTCAAATAATTCTATTAATCCACACTTATATATATTTCTATTATCTCTCTTATTTTCGCACTCTTTTACTTTAATTTAAAATTGTATAATTAAAAAGTTTTGTTATTTAAAATATAAATATTATGTGATTAATATTTTATTTTTGATATTTCAAGGTATTTTTAGACACGTGATTATTACTAGTACATAAATAATTCGAATCGGATTGAGTTGGATCATAATTACATCGGATGTATGTATATCCAAATTCAAATTCGTAAAATATAAGATATTAAGTTTGAATTTAAATCATCGATAAAAAAAAATTATCAATTTATATTCAATTAATCGAATTCGAATTAAAATCCGATTCACCGACCACTCTGGTTATAATTGTGAGAAAATGAACTGAGGCTAACTAGGACCACAATGCCTTTTAATACAGCCAATAGTCGGTGACAATCAAAACTCGGTCCACCAACATGCACGACTTTACGGAGTTGAATACGGTATTGATAAAAAATGTTTGGTACCATAATTCTAAAATTTATTATTTTAAAAAATATTTTTATAGGTCATTTTATAATTAAAAAAATTATTATTTTTATTGTCAATTTATCAATTTTGTGAATATTTTTATCACATTTATAATAACTATTTTTATTATTTTTCTTAAGTATAAAAAAAATATCATTTTTACGAATAATTTATCACATTTGTGAGATTTTTATTACATTTATGAATATTTTTATAACTATTGTGGTAATTATTTTTATTAAATTTTAAAATATCATAATAATAATAAAAATACTCATAAAAATTATTGTGATAAATTTCGGTACCATACGAAAGCTTTAAATTTCTGGGACCCTAATCCACTCCGACTTTTTACATATACCTATTTTCAATAGTTCCAATGACAAATACCATAATTCCAATGACAATCAGAAGTGTCCCATCAGAAACGGGTGATGACAATATGTAAGACTTGATTACGGTATCAATAAAAAAATTTGGAAACGTACCTCTATAATTTATTGTTTTAGCGGGTATTTTTATAATTTTTTGAGTTATGTTATAGTTAAAAAATGTATTATTTTTTGGGGATAATTTGTTATTTTTGTTGGTAATTTATCACTTTTATAAATGTTTTTATCAATATTATGGTAATAATTTTTGCCAATTTTGCAATACAAAAAAAAATATCATTCTTATAAGTAATTTACTATATTTGTAAATATTTTTATCACTACTGTAGGTGTTTTTATTATAGTTGTAGTAACTATTTTAATCATTTTTTTTGTGGTATAATAACAGCGATAAAAACATACACAAATATAATAAATAATAGTATGACACCAATTTTTTTTTTTTTAGGTACGATAGACAACTCCCAATATCTATAACATAACCAAGTTCCTATGCCAAGTTGAAGGAGTAGACTACGTTACTCAAAAAAAAATTGATACAATACAGATAAATTTTACTACTTAAATCAGTGTTTTAATAATTTTGTGGACAATTTTATAATAAAAAAAATTATTATTTTTGTGAGTATTTTTATCACTGTTGTGATCATTATTTTTACCATGTTTTTCTGTACAAAAAAAATTGTCATCTTTGTGGAGGGTTTACTATTTTTGTATGTGTTTTTAACATTTTTGTGAATGTTTTTATCACAATTGTGATAACTATTTTTTACACTTTTTTTAGAACCACAACAGTGGTAAAAACACTCACAATAATAATAAAAAAATTCACAAAAAATAAATAAACAAAAATAAAAAATCTGTTTAGTATTATACCAAAAATTCTTCACTCAAACCCCACCACCCAAACCCATCCCCAACCTCACCACCGAAACCAACACCACAGACCACCACTTGCCACCAAAAACCACCCCACTGACCACCACCCAACCCCATCCCTGAAAAACCCACACCCAAAAACCCATATCACCGTCGAAATCCGCCAGCTCAATCCTCCAAAATTCACCACTCATCTATATATACAGACAATATACATAGATCTAGGGCTTGAGAAGATGATTGAGAAGGGCGATGGCATGTTTCCCCCCTTTTCTGTTTCGTCTTCGTCTTTGGCAGAGAGAGAGAGACGACTGATAGGGATGATGGAGATGCTTCGACTTTGTCTTTGGCATCGAGAGACATAGAGAACTGAGAGAGGCGATGGAGATGGAGATGGAGATGGAGATGGCTTCTCTTCGTCTTGAGCCTTTGGCATCAAGAAAGAGAGAGAGAGCCAACTGAGAGGGGTAAAAGAGAGAGATATGGTTTTTTATACTCAAAACCAAAAAAATCATATTTTGTTGTCGAAAAGTATCGAAGTCAAGACCTCATTAAATCTTTTTATCAATAGCGTGTTTGTTTTTTATTTATGTTTTCAAAAATATCATTTTGGATGTTTTCATATTTTAGCCTTGTTTCAAAACAGAGCAATTAAAAAAAACGAAAACATTCATCAAACATGTTTTTATTTTTATTTTTTACCATAAATTAAAAACAAAAACAAAAAAAAAACAAAAAACACCGGTTACCAAATACTACCTAAGTTGTCCCCCTCTCCCTTCCCCTTCCCTTTCCCCTTCCCCCCCAAAAAAATGAATAAATAAATTGAATACTTTAAGCACTTAATAAATTAATTCATTTGATAATCTAAAATTTATATCACTTAATATTTTAAGTACTTCTTAAAAATAGTCTAAAATTTTAAGTAACAAGTCATCTAATTATCACTTAATGATAAAAATATCAGTTAGTACGAATTTTATCAATTTCTCATAATAGACAAATATACCCTTGATGAATTTTACACTTTTAACTTTTTAATATCTATCACCACCACCGCTACCATCATCCCACTGCGATCACCATCGCCCCACTGCCATCACCATCGCCACTACCACCACCATTGTGTTGTTGCCACCACCGACTACCACCATTATTATCATTGTGCCACTGTCATCATCATCATCATCACCACTATAACCACCAATGTGTCGCTGCAATTACCACCACCATTGTTAAATTTCGATTAAATTTGTAATATTTAATGGATATGAATATTGATATGAATTGTAAAGACAAATTTTAGTAGATAATCATATCGCATTCAAAATAGAGTTTTCAAATCTAACTTAGATTTGAATCACTCAAAATTTGATGATTAACATATCTATTTATAGTTTACATAATGATTTGTCAAAATAACATTTTCCATGAAAATTATTCTAATACTAGTACTTTCTATAAAATAAATTTAATATATTTTTTCTTAATTAGGTTCATTTTTTTACGCATAAATTATGCATGAAAAATTTTTAAAGCAACAAAGTAAAAAAATTATCATGAAAAATTAATTTATAAATAGTGTAAGTGGAAAAACACTTATATTTGCAAGACACAACAAATTTTTGATGATTGTTCTTCAACCGTTTCCCTCAAATTGAAGATTGCTCCCACTAAAAATGGACTCTAGCTCTGCCATTGTTTTTCCTTCTTATTTTACACTCTAACCAAACAATATAAAATAATTCTTTCCATCATATTTTCTATCTTCTTCTTTTCTTTCACCCTATTTTCACCATAGGAAACAGACTATTAGAATACAAGAAAGTCTTAAAAAAAAAATAGAGGATAAGAAAGTCTCAATGACAAGTTCAACAGTTCCGAAACAAATCGGGTATAAATAAAATTATCTTTTACACAAATTCTCTAAAACTCGACACAAACTCGTCTTTCCAGCATGGTTGACAAGCCTACTCCCACCTATACTTATTGTCCACAATACTAATTTCAATAACAATCAAAATTTATCCCATCAAAAACAATTGATGGCAACAATTATTGTATATCCAGGTCGCCCATGACCAATTCACTACTAAGAAAATATCCATCCATCTATTTAATACCAAGACACTCATGGTTAAATAGAAACTCCCTACTTTCTTATAGATCTAGAGTTATATTTATAAGTCGAATAATAATGTTATTTAGATTTAAAAATTTGACTTAATGTGCTGACATAATGATGTAATTTCATAAAAATTATTGAATCAATATTAAATTCTAATGTTAACAAATTATATCATTAAGTTAAAGTCACAATAACATTGCTCTTATAAGTCAAAGTGAAAATTTATTGCAAGACTTAAGCATAGGGATGCCGTGAACTTGGGATGAGTATGGTTTACCAAGTCCCAACACGCTAGGCTTTCACCTTCAGGTAGTGTGTGTGAACTACAATAATTCTCAATGACAAAGTTCTAACAATTCATGTTCAATTATCCATCCATCTAAGTCAAACCAATTGTATTCTTCCATTCAATAAACCACAGAATGCCCCCACCAATTCAGCTTATCATTGTTCCGCAAGGGTGTTTGAGTGGCTAGCTTCCCACCATAACGATGCTCAATTATTTATTTTGACTTCTTCCAAAGAAAAAGAATGGAACTGAATGCATAACAATTATTCGGATCCTAATAAATATACCATCACCAATGCACCATCCTCCATCCTCCATCCTCCATCCCCCTACAGATTGCTGACCCACCACCAAGACCGTCCAAGGGCCGACCCGGTAAACCTTGGTAGTATTTTTCAGGCCCAGTCAAGTCCCATCTCGCGGAATGGCCAGGTCTTGGTATAGGTATCTCATGCCATGGCCCATCCAGTAACACGTGCCATGAGCTACAGAATGACCATGGCACGGGTCGGGCTGGGTTGCGAACTGGTTTTATTTCTGGGGGTTTTTAGCGGCAGGTATAATATGTTGGACTTTTTGACCTCTCGAGATATGATAGGATCAAAAGAAATTCATCAATATCAAAATACAAATATGAAAACATCCAAAAAGATCATCGATATCTAGGTTGTTTAGATAAATATATATGGTGATAGAGGTTTGTGTGATTCTCATATTTATCATATGTATTCCTCACCCTATAAATATGATTGAGCCTTATGTAATTAAGTGTTATTAATAATCTATATAATAAAGTAGAATGAAGTTTGAATTCAAAAGACAAAGAGAGGTTCAGATCGTTTTAAGATAAAACATAAACACATCCAATAGACAACGTAATTCCAACATAAAATACGCTTCAAATTATTTCAAAAATTTTGATCTAACAGTTTACAGTTAGTCTTAAATTTCTATTCCCGCGCCATGAAGAAGTCTTTTATCGTAAGACTCTACACTCCTATCTCTCATACGTCTTTATCTTAAATTTAGAAAAACACAATAACAACTCATATTGAATTCATTTTAATTAAATGATCTAAATTCATCAAATTTAATCCAATGGCTCACAACACATCCCACACAAAAATAAAATCCCACCAAGGGTGGAGCCTGAAAAATACTTTAGGGTGGGCACATTAATAAATTTTAATTATTTTTTTGTCAATGTTACCAATAACTTAATTCAATGTAAAAGCTATTTTAGTTGTAAATTTCAATGTTAGATGAAGTCTACTTTCAAGCAAAGAGGTGCATTGACTTATGTAATCAAATTAGATCTAAATTACATTTTTTTATTTTTTTTTCAATTGACCATAGAAGTTCATAAATTCATATTTACTATAATTATGTGTAAAAATTCATTAAACATAAAAGGTTAAAAACGATTTGCATGAAATGAACAAACAAAAAATAAAAATTAATTAATTAAAACTTTATATGAGACTAATTATTATCATTTTACAATTAAATCTGATTATTGTTTATCATTTAAAAGAATTACAAATCAATGATATCAATAAATACTTTTTTTCTATATACAAAATAGTAATAACAATCTTTCATTTATCACCTTGTAATTTATTATATTATGATGCCCATTTCTGTACAATAATAAAATAATTCTATAATTTAGAAAAATGAACGCCATATGTCTAAAAATTATTCGGACATGTTTGTGTCTAAAAATTTAAGAATAATAGTAATTACATCTAATTCAAAATTTAAGTTTATATCTTGACCAAAAAAAATTTAAAATTTAATTGGTAGGAACCCAATAGTTTGTGACCAATGGATGGATAGTAGACGTTATTAAATATAGGAATTCACTATTAGATTTAATATCAGAATGTATTAGTTCCAATAACATTATTTAAAAATTAATTATTATTTAAGTAATCATCTATCTTAATCAATATCACAATAATATAATAATAAGGTAGACACAATTAAATATGTCTAAATTTTATTTTAAAAAATATATATTTATTGTAAAAAAAAATTGAGGCTGGGCACAATTAAATATATCTAAATTTTATTTTAAAAAATATATATTTAATGTAAAAAAAAAAAATTGAGGAGGGCACGTGCCCACCCTGGTCCAAGGGTGGCTATGCCCCTAAATCCCACTCAATTTAATTACACCCACATGCTACCCATTTTGTTTAACACACAGCCTAAACTCTTTTTCTTTCTTCCATTAACCGTCTCACCTCTGTTTCATAGTTTTTTAGAAATCATTGTCATCCTCCTCAATCTCTCATCTCTTTGTGTAGACTCCAACAATTGACAGACCTTCTTCAACGACACACGACATAATTTGGAGGCCCATTGGATTTAACCACTCCGACCATCCATTTTTTTCCATCCAAATTATATTCACGGTGATCTAACCTGCGGAAGTACTCTCGCTGGTACCCATTATTATTTATCATTGATGATTTTTTTAGTTTAGTTTAATAGTGTATGTTTTGATAATAATTTATTGTTTTTAATTTTTAATGTTCGTGTGGTTTAGTTGTTGATATATTGTCATTAACTGATTATTGTTAAATGTTATATGTTAAAATTGTATTGTTTGTACCTTAATTTAGGTTGATTTTGTTTAATTTCTAATTTTACGATAAAATTTTGCATAAAATTAAAAATATTTCTATTAAACACACATAAAATACATAATAATCGTTAAGTTCAGTGCTTCTATTTCAAAGTTTGACAGTTTAACATTTGATTTCAATTACTGCATACACACCGTCATTACAACACAAAAATTAGTACCTAAATAGACAATGTCATTATTTTTGGACATGTAAGTTATTTAGTATATCGATTTTTTCAAAACCTTTAATATAATATTTCATTAAAAACCATTATAAACTTACTATATAATTTTTTATCCTTCTTATTACAAATTGATTCATACCTAGAGTACACTATAAGTAGATTTTCTTATCACACATCTTAGTACCGATGATTGATGTTTATTTCTTATTTCTTATCAATCAATGAAATTTAAATTATTTTTATAATCCATAAATAAAATCATCAAGTTAATATTCATTCCAAAAATAAATCACTATTGTATGAAAACCTATAGTTCTCAGAAAATTAAAAAACAAAATTCAAAACCCAAGTTAATCAGTAATTAAAAAAAAAAAGATACCAATTGCACCAACAAAAAATGTTCAAAACCAATCTAAGCGCTATGTATTGAAATTATTCAAATATCCTATCTTTGTGTGTTGAAATTTTATAAGTAGCATAGTGTCTTCAGGCACGGACAATGACTAGTACATCAATATAGTTCATTGAACATTTAGGTTCATGGACGTAAGCACTATGCCGAACCATTTTATTCCTAGTTTCTCGTTTTTTTATCATTATTATATCTTCAATCTCTCTAATATTCTAAATTTCTTTATATAATTTGAACGGGTCGATTATATCTCAATTTGAATTGGGTGGAACTATTTTCACCCTATAAATCACTTTCTCCACCCCCATTTAATCATATTATTTCAAACTACTAAATTCACCTCATCTATACTTATCTTATTTCATCTCATTTATACTCATTCAATTAAACTATTAAATATATATTAAATAAACCGAAACAAAAATAGTAAATGAAGCGAAGTTTTAATGTTTCAAGGTGATATATATTTTTTTGAGGTGTTTTAAGATATTTTGATGTATTTTCACCAATGTCTTTGAAATATTTTGAGGCGTTTTAAAATATTTTGACTAATATTTTAAAGGGTTAATTGCACTAGAGATCCTCAAAGTATAAAATTTGTCTCATTTTAATCCCTAATATTTCAATTGCGTCATTTTGGTCCATGAAGTATTAAATATGTTTCTATATGGTCCCTCAAGCAAATAACATCTAGATTACTAACGATTTTTTTATCATAAACTTGTCATGTGATATTTAAATATGGACAAAAAAATAATTTTTATAATTCTTGATTAAATTTTTACTCAAATTTTGGTTAAATAGCTATCCAAATTATACAGTTTTAATAATTAGCTATCTAAATTTTGGTTAAAAACTACTCATATTACACATTTTTTGTCAAGAGGTACCCAAATTTTGTTTCAAAGCTATCAAATTTTTTTTTTTGTTCATATTTAGGTATTACGTGACAAGTTTATGATAAGAAATCGTTAGTAATCTAAATGTTGTCTGTTTGAAGGGCCATATAAAAACATATTCAATATTTCAGGGACCAAAATTATGCAATTGAAATATTGGGGACTAAAATGAGACAAACTCTATACTTTGAGAACCTCTAGTGCAATTAATCCTATTTTAAAAAAAATTATTAATTTTTATTCTGCTTTTGAAATATTGTCGTACTGAAATAATACAACAAAATAAAATTTTGATCATTGCTTATAGAATAGGTTGAAATAAAATTGAATTAAAATTTTTAATTAGTAAATATAAATGAGGTGGATTTAATAATTAATGAGGTAAGTATAAATGAGATAAATTTAGTAATTTAAAGTAAGATAATTAATAGGGTGAAAAGAATATTTACGGGGTGGAAATAATTTCACCCATTTGAATTTGCTTCTTCTTTTCCAATTTTAAGATCTATCAATTTGACATATTCTTTGATTTTCTTTGCTAGTTCTTTTCTCTTTGTTTTAATTCTAGCCTGCAAAGAACTTTCTTGCCCTCCTTGCCATCAACTCCTAGTTGCTATCATCCTTTATTATCACCACAGTCGCCAATGAGGAACACCCCTATTCAAGCCAAAATCATTCAAGTGGGAAAAGTGTTCAGATTCCATGCCAAATGAAGGCCTTGCAAGATTGCTCTGATTGTGTCTATCACAGAAGGAGGTGTTATAAAGAATTATCTGATGGAGAGTACTCCATAGTTGGATTGTTAGGAGAAGAAGCTAGTGACGTGTCAATGTGGAGAACAAAAATAATAAAAGATAGCAGAGTGTCGGAAAGAGGGCTGAACCTCAAAGAAAGAACCTTTTTTTTTTAAACAAAAAAAAGGAGAAAAACAAAACAAAATAAAAAGAGAGAAAAAAAATATAAAAAATTTATTTTGTCCCACCTTATCGTTAAGGGAGAGTTGGAGGAATTTCATCACTATAGTTACATTATCTGATGGACAAGCAACCACCACAAATTATTAAACACTTCATCTAATTCCAATGTACCAACTTGAGGAAGAGCGTTAATGATATTATAGAATCAGAAGGAATCTATTAATATTCAGATATAAATACAATCGGATCCAAAAAAAAATATCAATATTCAAATTGTTTAGATCAATGTTTTAAAACCCAACTTAATCTAACAGATTAACCCAAAAAATATCCAACTAGTATCTGAATTGGACAAATTTTTAAATTGGACAAAATTTTAAATTGAGCCGTCAAATAACCGTTTATACCGGCCAAAATGGGATAAATTTTAGGATAAT